AAACAAAACCAATCTGTCGCAACAAAACCAATCTGTCGCAACAAAACTAATCTATCGCAACAAAACCAACCTATCACAATAAACAAAAATTAAGAAGACAATACTTTTCAAAGGAAATAAACAAGGACACCAGTTTCTCGTCCAGGGACTCATCAGGACATTTTTGTTTTCAAGACACTAGAAATAGGCCACGGTGTGGGTAGGGTAAAATAACAAAGGTAATTAGGATATGTCAAAAACAAAGGTAACAAATCTACTACAATCTTATATAAAAATTTTCTTTTTGAGATGAAGCCAAAATTGACAATATATTAAACGGAGCAGTTATATTTACGTTGCACAGTTTTTTTATAATTCATTTGACAGATTCTGATACGTTGTGCATTCAAAAAAAAATGTAATCTAAATCACCTTAACCTCCACAGTGTTCACAGTTGTCACTATGTATAACATTTATACGAGAAAGATGCTGGGGATAACATGCGTGTCCAAATTTGAGTCTATTTATTGTTGTGATAAATCTGTGAGGAATATTAAACTGCTTGTGCCAATATTTTATAGGTATGGTCGGATGTAACAATGTGTATCTTGTTGGGTTAGTGAAAGAAAATTCACTCTATGAATGCGACCACATTAAACGTAGTTTGGTTTTGAGAGTAACAAAGGAATCACCTACGCATAAGTTGTAGTCTGGATGTGGATTTCCAATATCTTTAGCAATTTTATCGACATGTTCATTTTCTGCTAGGCCTATATGAGCTTTTATCCACAAGAAATGATTTATTGTACCAGTTAGAGATAACTCTGCGAGAAGTTTTTTAATTTTACAATTATTAACAGTTGGGAGTTTCGTATCTTCCAAGGTCTTTAAAACAGATAGAGAATCGGAAACTAGCACTGTACTGTTGTTAGTAATGGATTTGGCATATAGGAAAGCTTTATATATAGCTACAGCTTCGACACTGGAAATAGAAAACACAGAATTTAGAATGTAGGCTTTTTGATTTGTCTATGTTTCTAGATGGAATATAATAAGCAAAACATGTTCCAGTGGAGGTTTTAGAAGCATCAGTACATATAATTAGGGCGTTTTCCCAATTAGATAGAAATGACCTCAATATATTTCTACTTATGCTTACATCAGAGTCATAATAGGGTTGAATGATACGATTTTTGTGAAGAAATAGAGGATAGTCAACAAGTTGTGTTAGATCATCAGTTTTATATATGTTGGGCAACTGACTTTGGAATTGTTGAAACGCAATGCACAGTGGTGGGGAAGTTGGTTAATACCACATATTTTGCCTTATTCCTAAATTTACCTCTTCCAAGTACTCTGGTAAATCATTTTGTAAGAACTGCAAGTAATTTGCACCATTTAAATTATTTGGAAGAAATTATGGTAATTCGTAATGCCATTTATATTGAAGGTAGTTTCATCGGTAAACAAAATAAGATTTATGTAATTTATAATTCGATTTTTTTCCGTTAAGAATCGTCTAGTAATTCTTGAACGGTTGTTAAGTGATAAGGATGAAGCTGCTGTTTCTTCAATCTTCTCCAGACCATCATGTGATCAACATCTATTTGACCAGGTAATACCCTTGTAGTTCTTCCAGGGTTTTCTTCGACTAATTCTAAATCGTTTGTATCCATTTTTGGATGACCACTATTAGCAAGTTGCGGTCGGAAATAATCGTCTGTCTAGTGTATTCCGATTGGAATATTTTTCCGCATATGACCTTGCAGCTGCTGCACTATTCTGTTGGAATTCACCTGTGAATACCAGAATTACAAATAATTATCTAAAACCTTGTTTTAGCCTGACCAAACTTACCCAGAATTAAATGCATATTTGCCATTTCTGCAAACGCGTAAACCATTGTAACAGAAAGTTTAATTTTTTTAACACTCTTAAAATACACAATAATCGAAAGCTTCAATTAAGAGTATGTAATTGTTAAAGCAAATGTTGGGTTATTTATCAGTAGGAACTACAAATGTTGGATAGCCAACTTCAAAATTTTTGAAGGATAATCAAAAAGAGGCCCCATCTCGATAAAAACTGGCTTTGCTAAGAGGCAAAAAAACTATGTATTAAACCAATGGTGTCACAATACTAATTTAATTGTAACGCATTGAATAGTTTGGGGGGTTTTTGGGGTTCAAAACCCCCCTTTAATTTTTATGGGCTATACAGATTTCGTAGTTTTATGCGAAATAGATGCTCTTATGATAAGAAAGCCATGTATCCATTTTCATTACAAAATGTTAAACAGTTCATAAAATATTGGAAAAAATCGATTTTTATTTTGTACTTTCCAAAGGATATAACTCTTTTTGTTAGCACATTTACATCAAGGTAAGTTATGTTTGACCCCAAAATATGTGGATCCATTTATGACCTACCTTTTTGTTACACCCTGTATTAACAGTATGGTGTATGTAAACATATATGCTTCCTAGTTAAAAATACAAAGTTGATCTTTAAATGAACTTACAAATTGCGAGTAAGCGAAAATCAAAGTAAGGCATTTTGTCAGTGGCACATCCAGAGTTTAATTCTGGGAGGGTAGTGGTAATACAGTTTAAGTCTGGGGGCGGGTAGTGGTAATATTTAAGACTGTATTTTTGATAATCATACATTTTATTGCCTATAAAAAGTTAGGTATAAAAATTCTTAGGGGTAATTAGCCCCATTACCTTTCCCGTATATGCGCCCCTGCCTTCTGTAGACATCAAGTTATTTTTACTTGATACTTTTTCAGCTAAATATACAGAGTGAGGAGTGAGTAGTTAGAGTCTGTAAACTAAAAGCTGGGTATTGAAAATATATACGTATTAATAAGAATTAAACGCGTAAATACTAATTTATATTTAATGGAAATAGAAAATGATTTAGCATGGTCTAATTGCCTAATAAGAATCTCCATATGCGATTAGAGGACAATACATTACAGTGCAGGATATCTTCGAAAATAATTTAATAATTCCCGTCTTTTTCGTACAGTAATATACATATGTATATATGTATTGGTATTTAGAGTAAACTGCACAGTCACACTTTTAAGGAGGTCCTTTCGCCACCAATGTTAAATAAAAAATATTAGATTATGACTAAAATTAATTTTTTTCTAATAGTAGATGTCCTTATTTATCTAATAGTGAACTTTTAACTATACCTTACCGTGCAAATTTTTGAGAAAATTTTGTTTTAAAAATGTGTGTGTTTGTACAGTGTCTTATGAGAAATTCGATTAAAGATTCGATTAAATAATTAGCTCAAATCGTTAATCGCTCAACTTTAGATTTCACGAACCGTGTTTAATTCCTGATAAAAGTGATCTTTTATATTAGAATATAATAATAATAATAATAATAATAATAATTTTCATTAGCTTATTTTTTAAATACAATAATAAGATGAACGGCAGTGAAAGAAAACTTTTTTTAATAATAAAGATGATATATACCTACTTCGGTTTTCAAAATAGAACAAATTAAATAGCGGAAATATTAACGGATTGCCTAACTGTAGGTGTTATATTGTGATAAATACAATAAAATAAAATAAATAAGCAGCAGTAGTCATATTTTTTTATTTTTCATATTTCTTCCCAAATAAAAAAAGATTGCTTTTATTGGTTATTGAATCCAGGTCGAGAAATCAAAAGTTAAGCGATTAACAATCTGAGCCGTGAAAGCTTAAGGTAATTATTTATTCCAGTATGTAACAATAGCATATTCTACAACGGTTTTTTTAAGACACATCGTCGAGCGCTCCACCGCTGGTGCGTCTGCAACAAAGTATTTCAATCTTCTACACGTCAAAACGCTTCGATACTGTATCGCATCATCAAGAATAACTTCATAGGAAAGAGGAAACAGCAATAAAAACAAAAATAAACGTATATAATAAATTAATCGTACCGATAAACATTTTTCTAATTTTTTAATTCTGAAGTCTTTTGGACCGACGGCGTGGCACTGTGGAAATGTGCTAAACCCTCGAACAATAAAATATTACAAATATAATAGTCCAAAACTCTTCTCATTATAACAAATGCAATTAGTATATTTCGAACCAGACCATGCATGGATAATATTCTGTTCATTACAGACATAATTATATGACAATACACAAAATAAACAACTCGTATGTGGGACCACGAAAACTAACCTGTCAGGAAACTAACCAACCGGCAAGTAGTAGGAAGATGATTGGATAAAAAATCTTGCCAGAGAACCAAGAACTTATTTAATAAAACTATGTTGCAGCTGTTCACTTTGCAGTTTGCATATTTTACTAAATTTATGTTTTATAGAAGAGAAATTTGAAAAGCAATTTAAAAATTCAAAATGAAAAATTAATAATCTGCAAAGTTAACGATGTTATTTTATGAAACACAAATATTTTGTACTCGTAAATTTGCAATGTGCAAAGTAGTTTTATGAAATAGGCCCCTTCCTAGATAAATAGTGGTAAATTATCATTGGACAAGTTTCCCTCAAGACAGCTTCAAATTTCATATTTTCTTATTTCTATTTGTTTTCATGTTGTTATGTTAAAGAGTAGGTTAGGACAGCGGTCCCGCTTAGCAGATTCACTATTGTGTATTGACATCTGCAGTTAAGCAAGGTCGCGCGAAGTTAGTACTTGGATGGGTATTTATCTTAAGAAAAGTCAGCGTACCCATAAAGCGAAACAAACTGCCCGCGTAGTTACATACTATAGCTGGCATGAGTTGTATCAACAAGTTTATAGGTATAGCGTCTTTCGGAGGAGATGTAAAGCCGTCGATCTCGAGTCAATACATCGTGAAGGACCGTTAAAGATCCCTACCTTTGGTTGAAACAACAGAGGACTCGGTTGAATTTCTGGTATTTGGGGGTAGCGAGATCACCAGTATCGATGTAAAAAAATATTTAGTAGCAAAAAAGTAACTTTGAGTAATGAATTAATTGCGCTTTAATATTAACTTGAAGATTTTTTGTTTCAGAAACAAAGAAAATTCTTCATGGAGTATCAGGTCAGTTCAAGTCAGGTGAATTATCAGTAATAATGGGTCCTTCTGGTGCTGGAAAGAGTACTCTTCTAGACGTGTTGGCTGGATTTATGTAAGTATCTAATCAAAACAATGAGTCAATATGAGATAAAATTAATAAAAACGGTTTTTTTTTTTAATTCGTTAAAATAAGATATGTAGTTTTCCAGATGTTTAATTGTTTTCTTATATGCATACGCAGTGCATATTTTTGGTTCTAGTGGACCCTAGGCCCTTCTATGCCCCCTAGTAGGATTAGGAAGTCTTAATAGCGACTCAATTCAAAAACTTATTGCCAGAAATATAACTAAAAAACAAGTAGTACTGTCAAAAATTAACATTTATATTATTTTGTCGACATAACATAAAATAATAGAAATATCACAACACAAATAATACAATAAAAAACAGTATTAAACACATGACTTTCCTGTCTAGTTATTACAGGCTTTTTCCGGTTATTTTGTACAACTTATTTTATCACCCCTGTAAATGTTTAGAGGATGAACTAAATACATACATTTTCCACACACATCTTACTTATATACGAGTATATTCATTGCCAACAAAATTACTGAAAAACAAATACTTTACGCTTTTCCTCAAATTTTTAAATTACGGTCCATTTTAGAGAAATCATATCGTCGGTGTCGTTCTAATACCTCGTAACCCTCATTTTGAAAAAAATGATATTTTTACGTCAAATTGTTGCGGTTACCCATATTTACCATTACAGAAAACCTCGTAGCCCACAAAATTTTTAAAACTTTAAAAATTTAACTTTTCTAATACCTCGTATAGTAATAGTAATAAATAAACAGAACGGTTTTTGGCTTCTCCTGTAAAATGTTACTTTTGGGCTTACGAGGTATTAGAACGACACCGGCGATATATAAGACAAAAATTATAGAAAATGCCATCACAAACAATTTTAAACGATTTTCTTAGAAATTCGAATTTTGTTTATTTTGTCAAATTCTGGAATACGGACCATTTTAGGAAAATTATGTATGGAACAAAAATTATGAAAAATAATATGGCAAGCAATTTTTATTTGCATAATTTTCTTCTCCAATCGTAAATAATAGATATTTTCAATAAAATAGAAGAACGACCCTCTAAAAGTACTCCCTCCAGATGTTCTGACTATGAAAATTTAATTAGGCTTAAATTTAAAATTTTGTGTTTTTCTCTTTATTCGTTTTTGAGTTATCTTCAAAATTCAAAATTTACACATTTGCTCAAATATCTCGAATATTTTAGAGAAATAACTTTTAACAATTTTCCTAAAAATTTGAAGTTTGCACTTTTTGTCAGCAGAGGCTTAGTAGTAAAGTTCCGTTGGTTACCCTTCAGGAACGGAACTCTCAAAACGACCACCTATTCGCTCTGTGCGCGACAGCAGCGCCAATTCGTTTTGATACTAATGGACTATTTCTGCGTGTATTGACAAATGCAACTTTTAATAGAATTCGTAATTAAAAAGTATACATGTTAGTTTTAATAAAAGTGTATGGATTTGTAAAACAAGTAAAACATTAATTTATTATTATTATATATTTTTATCGCTTAAATTAAAGAAAATTATGTATAATCGATATAAATCAATAATAAAATATAGGCAGGCAACAGTATTTACTGGAAAATGTATGAGAAGTTGCCTAAGTCTAATAAGTTTTCATTGAAGAATTAGTCTATTCTGTCAAAATACAAAAATACCATTTAATAATAGCCTGAAGTTAAAATGTATAAAAAAAGGATCATTACTTATATTTTCATTTTTGTTCGAAAGAAAACATAGAATGAATGATTAAAACTAATTTCCCATCAGTAAGTTACAAAATTGCGTTCCAACCACATATAATAATCAAAGGCAGAAATCTTGAAATCTAGTCCTTGCTGAATGAACATTTAAGAATAAGGGATATTAAAGAACTTGGTAAAATGATAATTTATTGTTTATTTAAAACCTTTTAAGTTTCTGATGTCTACTATTTGCAGCATTACGGTTATTATTACAAAAATAAAGGTAATTTTTCTTCTTATTGTATATCTATCCATTTATTTCCTTGATTTAATTTCCACTTTGATACTGAAATTTTTTATATAAGTTTCACTGTTTTTTTGCTAGTATTTGTACAATTTTCAACACAGCAACTCCGGTTGCTTATTGTATTGTTTTTACCTACTTTTTTTGAAAAAAAGTAAAATGTATACGTGTATTTGATATGCCAAAATTACAAAATATCGCCCTAAAATGCACGAATTATCCGCAGCTAGCGCTACTATCGCTTTTGCTTCCCTTTCCATGACTTCGCACGGAGCGAATAAACAACCCAAATGTTCTGAGAAACAACCAGGATTTGTATATATTTTCTATATTTTTACAAGGTAAATCATTTTTTAATTAAATTAATGTAAAATACTTAGTTACAATAGCAATTTATGAAATCAGTTGCAAAACGCCTTATTTTATATACATACACGATTTTTCTTTTTTTTTTTTAATTACTGACATCTAGACAACCAATATTACTTCTTTCTTGTATTCTTAGTTGCATATGATTAAATTCATTCTTTTATTGAAAGATAAAAAATAATATTAATTTATTCTCAACGACTTGTTGCAGTGTTTTTGTATTAGTTGTTAAAGTTATTTAGATTTCAAAAAGTAGGTTATTTTGTCGTCTATTGTGTTTTATTTATATTGTGACGATTTAGAATGGAAAATAAGGAACAAAACAATATTATTATCAGATTATAAATTTTACCAAATTCCATTTGAATATTCTATCATTCTGCGCTTCTTTAATATAAACTTTTAATACTCATATATATATATTATTGATTTTAAAACAAAAAAAGGTTTATTTTTATTTGTTTTCTATTCTCAGCTGGTAACATAATGAATTTTTCGATCTCAGTTTCATAATGTTCAATATTAGGCGTTTTCGGAAACTTACTCGGATCAGAAAGATTATGGATTATGGATATTGTTCGTTTACCTATGTTTACTAACCCTATCCGTGTTCGGAAACTAGTAGATTACTGATACAGCTTTGTGATAGAGATCAATATTTTGTGACCCACTCTACGAAAAGATTAGTAATAGATCCGCATGCGTATCGCAGGATTTTATAAAGGGATAACGCAATTTTTTGGTTTTTGGTGACTGCCAGTAGTAGCTTTGAAGTTTTTTCTATCTTTAATTAGTTATAACTTATAATATTTATGCCCATATAGCGACTTTATTAGCCATACTACAAGCATGTTTAAATAAAATGGTTCTTTAACAAATAAGGGGGAAACGTCAAAGATTGAACAGGAACAATAATCCAACTCGTTTGTAAACTGTCGGCACCAAGTTTAGTGATCCACGTAATCCATCGGGTAAACCCAGTAATCTGGATTTGTTATCTCTAGTAGGTTTCCGAAAATGCCTATTATTCAACTGGTTTTGTAAAGTAGATCATTCTGACACTTCTTGTGATTACAAAAAATTCACTTTATATGTCAAAATTAGAAAAACAATATAAAACCCAGAAATAATATGAATAATTATAAAAAATAAATAAAAATCTGTCAAAGCAAGATAATCGCAATTAATGAGAGAACGAGTCTATTTTTGTATAATTTTTTCCTCGCCAATTATTGACTAGAACTACTTAAACCTAATACTTTTGGTTGATTAATGCTCTGCATTTATCTATCATTATCATTAATAATAAATAACACTGCAATAACTGTCCACATAAACTTGTTTCATTATAACAGCTATTGACGTCAAATATTCACTAATAGTCAGGTGGCCCACGGTGAATTTTGTAATCAACAGACTTAATAGTGTGCTTGGTAATAAGCTGATTGCTTGTAACAGTTTTCATGCCATAATACACCCCCCAGTGTGGACTGTACTGTTCTGAAGGCATCTGAATATTGTGCTGTGATTTAACAAAGAAAAAATTTGGTTTATTTCTTCAACAATTGTCGCCTCTCCTTCAAAAGTGTGCTCACGCTATTGAGAGAAATTGATAACCTTAGCTCCAAAGTTAATACTAAAAGTCGAAATTAAAAAGTTCAAGTATTATAAAAATTATACCGGGATAAGCAGAGAAGATATCATTAATTAATTTTACGAACGACAAAAGAGGGCAAACATATTTAACCTTCCAGAGCCTTCCAATACTTCCGAAATGTTCTTATATTGTAATTATTGTTCTTAAACGATATCAACGTTGCAGAACATAAACGATTACAACATCTTCAGACCGGACCGTGCATCTCAAACATCTCTAGCAAAGGAGGTGGTATTTTTAATAGCTGTTAGGAAAAATTTTCAAGTATTATCAACTCAAATCCATCAGTTGCGGAACTCTTCATTCACTTGGACCACACTAACTGCAAACGCATTTTAAGTATTATATCTCTCCCAAATTTAATTTGAACTACTTCATTATGTTGTTGATCATAATGAAGTAGTTCTTAAATTAGCACTAGCCAGACAGTAAGTTTTACCTGTTTGGAGATAGGAAATTTAAGATTTCTGTTTGTATATTTAAATTTTTAAATCTAAAATCACAGTCATTAGATGATTTTTTAGGAAGATATTTCTTTTGGCTTCTACTTCTACCCCGTTTGTTAATCTCCTGAAGTGGTCGTATCATCAAGATCACTAGTACTAGCATCATCCAGATCAATAGTACTATAGTTATTACTACGAAGCCTGCCTTTTGGCCAACCACGCCTACGTTTTTCCTTTTTGTTCTCCTCGCTGTCTACTTCAAGGTTTTCGCGTTCAACACATGGGGACCTATTATTTTAATTTCTTTTGTTACACGCTGATGAAATATTGACGTTTGGTAGAACTCGACAAGACAACAAAAATTGGGGAATGTTTATTGGTGGCATTGTGTTCACTATCGTCTTCATGATAGACGATGGTAGTGGTACTAAAATTATTTTGCCAAATCTTGAATAATAATTTGATTTCTTTGAAGTAGCATCAACATAGAAAACATTTTCTTTTGATGTCTTATTAACAACTATTTTTCTAGCCTCGGAATACGTTACTTT